GAAGTTTATGGTAAGTTTTTCCTCATAAAACTGTATCTTGATGTGTGTTTGTTTTTCAGTATCATTAGCATCGCAAGATTTCTTTAGTTTACATGTCCGTAATGCACACCCGCCTTCAGAGTCAAGAACCAATCAAAATTTGTGAAGACAAGCGACCGGAGAGCGCGATTCGCAACGCTGCGATCGCTATCGAGTCCCGTGTGTCGGGTTTCACCCTGGCTGCGATGACAGACGTTAATCGCTGTAATTTGTCGCTGCCCGTGTGTCGAGCCCTTTACCGTTGCCCTTCACCTCAAGATCCTGCTCCTTTTAAAAATGCTTTGTCTTTTGTTATAGTTTGGGTCATTTTAACTGTTGTTTTTTTTCTGTGGTACTTGTTTATATTTAAATATTTTTTAATTGTTTTCTGACTTTTTTATTGTTTTGTTTTAATGGGACTTTTGTAATACCAGAACCAGGTGAATGTTGGGTTGCATCCCAGGACTTCAACATACTTGTATACAGATATATCTTACAACTTACATTGTCTGTACCAGCATACAACATCACATACTTTTATTGGGTTTAAATGGTGTTATGTAAAATGAAAAAAATGTCCAACAAGAGATTCAGTTTTTTTTAACGTTGATCATAACTTCACATCATAAATTTACTCGTCAGTCATTTTTACAGCTTATAAAGTATTTTATTGTTAAGACTTTTAATGTGTTGGAATCCTGGATTAACTGTAATTCCGCTTGGTAGAATCTCACAACCATGAAGCAGATTTTTAACTCTATTAAGTTTTATTTGTCGTTGATTGCACCTAAAATCATTTGACTATAAAAAAAAAAGAATCAAGTTACTTTTATTCAGTTATTGTTGGTAAAATATTATGTAACACTGTGTAGAACAATGTTTTCTTCCAAAAACAGATGTAAAAAAAAAGTAAAATCTTTATAAAAACGAATACGTTTTGGTGGCTGTTCAGTCTCTCTAACTGTGGATCTACTTGTTGCCAAAAATATACTTTTAATGATTTTGCAACTTTTTGAAATATTTAAAATGCTCTGCCTTTTTCTTCATAAAATGATTGAAACCTTGTTTCTCCTTTACCAATGTACTTATTCAGTTCAGCAGGTTTGTGCTAATACTGGTAATGGTAACTCTGCCCTGCTGATTTTAACTGATGACTCGCCAGGAGTCATCTTAACTGTTTGAAAACCAATGGTTCAGTTCAGGGTTTAACACAACTGTTGGGAGAACCAGGGGTTTAGTTCAGGGTTTAACATCACACTTTGAAAACCAATGGTTCCGTTCAGGGTTTAACCCAACTGTTGAGAGAACCAGGGATTCAGTTCAAGAAACACCCCAATAGTTTTAGAATTTGTGGTTCAGTTCAGAGTTTAAGCCAACTGTTGGGAGAAACTGGTTCAGTTCAGGGTTCAGCCCAACTGTTGTGAGAACAAGGAGTTTGGTTGAGGGTTCAACCCAACTTTTGGGAGAACCAAGGGTTCAGTTCAGGGTTCAACCCAGCTGTTGGGAGAACCAGGGATTCTGTTCAGGAAACACCCCGATAGTTTTATAGAACCAGTGGTTCCCTTCAGGTTTCAACCCAAGTTTTGGAGCACCAGTGGTTCAGCTCATAGAGTACCTCATATTTTTTGAACCTATGGATAGTTCTGGGTTCAACCCTACAGTTTGGGGTTTAAACTTCAGTGGTTTAATTTGGAGTTTAACCCCTCGGTTTAAGAACTAGTGGTTCAGTTCAGGGTTTAACCCCTCAGTTTGACTGTGTTTGAAGCTAACCTGCGTGTATTTTATGATTCAACCAGTGTGGGGAGCTGTTGCTCTGTAATTATATCTGCAGACTCCAGGCCCCCTCAGGCTGTGGGTGATCCAGGCCTGGTGAGSGAGGGGGGCCAGAGCAGGGCTACGGGTAGATAGATGTGTGACATTTAATCACGCCTCMGGCACACGCCGCATGATTAGCATCAGTGTGGAAAACAGCAGTCAACACACAGGATCTCACACACAATCACACCCACGCTGAGTCTCAAGTCGTCAGCGTGAATCGGCTCAGATCGGGGCTGACAATCAGATTCTACAACAAAACCTAAAATTTACTGAGCCGCCCCCCTGCTGAGAGAGGCCACAAGTATCAGGGCTTTTTATTGCTGCAAGACTGAGAATAAAAAATAAATAAGACCCTGAAATAAACAACGAATATAAATCCAAATGTTAACCACCTCCTGAGGCCAGTGGATGTAATTCATCACAATACAAACAGAAACATTTAGGGCTTTGAGTTAATTTTAGCTACGGTTTTATRTAAACACTCATTTTACTCCAGGTGAAAAAAAAAGGTGCTTATAATTAATGTTTGTTGTGTTAGCAAAATATCTGATGAACTGCTGGAGTGGGTGATACGTATTTCTCAGCCTTTWGTTCTCTTTCATTTCTATCTTTGCTGAGTGAGAAAAGTTCTGASTGTCGTCCCCTGACATTTTGCTCCACCAGAAACAATGTTCTCTCATTTTAGCCGTGTCTCAGATAAGACGGGCCGAAGTGTTTCCAATCCTCGGCCGCCGTCGCGCCTCTGCGAGCACGGTGATTGGATGGATTGAGGTCACTTCCTCTGAGAGCAGCGTTGGGCACCGAAGCAGAGCTCCCGGTCAGCGGCGTGGGCCGTGAATCCGGGGCCAAAGCGGACTTCACGAGACCGACTGAGCGACTCTTCGACCCCTCGGGGGTCACGGGGAGCGATTACTCAGATCTCAGAAGCAGCGGCCCCCACGAGTTTGTTTTGGTTTTTTYCGAACTCAGCCCGGCCCGATGGCAAATCCGAATGAGATTTCATGAGACCTGACAGTTGGCGCTGGTGGYGTCCTCCATGACTGTACACATATTTCTGTTGCATTAAAGCCCACTTAACCTCCAGCTAACTGGAGCATGAGCTGCTCCTCGCCTCAGGCCTTGTTTGGCTTTTAGCTGGACTTGTTTTCACCTCTCCAGAACCACWTCCTGTCACCTGGTCCACCCCACAGACATGTTTAGAAGAGAACATCGGATTTTTCATTAACTTCCAATAAATATGAGCGGATTCCATGGATGAACTGTCCATTTATTATTGATGTGATGCTGAGTCAGCCTTTATAGTTTTTAAATTCCACCCCAACTACTTCTGCATACTTTGTGCTATTTTGAATAATTAATACTTAAATAATAAATATATTTTAGCCTACTTACCTAGGCTAAAAGCCTARGTAAGTAGGCTAAAATATATTAAGT